ACTGCCCAGAGGGGGCCCGACCCTCCTCGTACTCTCTGCCTATGCTACTTTTTTGTTTATTTTTCGTGCTTATTTTGTGCACTTGCTGCTTCTGTATAAATGATTATGTAAACTGAGAGAACATTAAACTAATGGAGACGGAAATGCTGTAGGCCCGTGTGCTCAGATTTGGGTACACATTTAGAAACCCCAGGTGGTCGAAATTTCCGGAGTCCTCCACTACGCTGTCTCTCATAATCATATGGTGATTTTGGGACGTTAATTCCACATATCAATCAATCGAACATCAAACTAAATTAAAGCTAAATTCTCTTTTTCTGTGTGTGTCATGGAAAGCCCGTGCGTGCTCCAAACATGAAGATAGTTGCTCCAAAAGCAGATTTTGCCTGCTCCAATGGCTGCTCCAAAATGCTAGAAAGCATTCCGACTACTGGAACGGAAGTTGTGCTACAACTTACAAATAAAGCGCTAGTACGTGAATTTGCTGCTGCTTCTATCATTCCCTGAACTGTCCATCCAAGCTTAAGGCAGCCAGATCACTGAACAAGCGATCTGTCCTTCCAGTTGCTACCTTCCTGTAGACGTCGAACCCAAGTAGCACACCTATTTCTTGTGGGTGCCATGTGTCAGGATGACAGTTGTCTGCGATGTCAAAGTTCTTCTCGCACAGGTGTCCCAAGACTGTACTGGTGATCGGTGGGCTTTTGGTCGTACACACTTCAGGTACCTCCAAGGCCTCCACGGTTGCGACTGTATTGCTACGTTGGCCTTGAAGAGTCAAAGCTACCCTTCGAGTGGGCATTACTTCGCAGGGCTTCGAGTAGTCGAACATAACCAAAGAAAGTTCCGCGGTTCCGATGATCGGGCTGTTGAAAAGAATGCTGTCCTGTTTGCAATAGGACAGCATCGCTCCTGCTCAGGGCACTTGAGGCAGATGTCACTATAGGCGTGTTCGTGGCTCGACTCGTGATACGAGGCTCGTCCTGATTCACAGTCATCGTGTTGGTACGAGTTGGTGTAGCATTTGGTATCGTACCCTCTTACCTTGCAGTACTCTGCTCTATCCCTTTGCTGACAATCTCTCGGAGGAAGAACCGCGCTCGGGACTCGGCGTAAGATACTTTTTGATCATACTCTTCCACGGTTTCGAGCTCGTAAGCATAGTCGTCAGTTGCGTCAAAGATTCTTTTGTTGAGGTTGACAAGTTCGACGTTCTCCCGGGTTTCGGCACCAGAAAGAATGTCACGTAATTAAGATCCGAGCCCTTGACCAAGACCATCCATGTTTATTCCACTGTTTATGCCGAACTTCTTCCTTCTCTTTTGTCGTCTTTTTCTATGTTGCCGCTCGTACACAATCATCGGCAACACTTAGCACACTATGCCATAGCTGCTAAGTCGCTACGCAGATCTTAAATAGCTTGAGCAAAAGATTTCTTTGCAACAAAATCGCAAGTGGTGCAGACAAATGCTGACTGTACATGTAATTTTTTTTCCCTGGAAGTAGGGTTGTTCGTATACATATATCTGAATAATCCTCAAGTTGGAGTGGCTGCTTAATAGCCAAGTCAGCCAACCGCCGATTCTTTCTACTTAAAGGGTCAGAATCAATCAGCTTTTTTAAATGCATGTTGTTGGTCAGTTGCATGTTTGCAAATATTCTCAACTAATTTGGTTGTATAAACCCTTATCGGCTGTGGTATTTTGTTTGTTGGTAACAACTTTATTGGAAGTCTGGCAGAGCTTTCGCCGACCAGGCCTTAGGTCTCCCCCGTGGGGACGTCAAGACCTTGCCTGACCGCCATCTCGCGGGCCTGCTGGACGGCCCAGAGTTGGTCACCGAGGCTGGGGCTGCACAGGGCAGCGGCCAACCGCCGCGGAAGGGTTCCGGATTTAGCACCTTGCGGATTTCTGGCGCAGTCCCAGAGCATGTGTTATAGAAAGAAAGATATTTTGTTTTTAATTAGCAGGTATTTTGTTTTGTCAATTCAGGTTTTGTGGTCCTTTTGGTCAACCTAATTAACACCCCAACTCGTGTAACACTGTCTTCGTCTACATGTCTTGACATTCTGATTACGAATATTGACACTGTAGTAGAGCATACTGGAACAGTGACATCAGACGTCAGTGATCATTGCCCTGTATTTATGACGTATTGTGCGAATGCTAAAAAAACTTTTTCTAAATCAAATGTGTTCGCAATACAAGATTTAAGCGAGAAAAACATGGATCTTTTTAAGCATGATATTTCCAAATATGACTGGTCTTTCTTATATGAAATAAGTGATGTAAATGTCGCGTATTCGAAGTTTCTTTCTGCGTTCCTGCAAATTTACAATCTACATTTTCCTTTCAAGAAATTGAGACAGACTAGAAAGATAAGAAAACCCTGGATTACGCAAGAACTTTTTAAAATGATAAAACACAAAGATAAATTGTACCATAGTTTTCTTGCTACACGTTCGCCTGAGGTGCTGATAATGTTTAAAAAGTATCGAAACAAACTGAATGCGCAACTCAGGCGTGCCAGGATTGCTTATCATGAGCGTATGTTTACAGACGCCACGGGTAAACATCCTGATATCTTGTGGAACATAATAAATAAGGTTCTTGGTCGCGAGAAACATTCTGCCGCGCCGGAGAAGTTAATCCACAATAAAACCGAAATCTCTGGTTTAGCACTTGCTAATCACTTTAATGAGTACTTTGCAAGCATAAGCGCGGGACAACAGCCACAACAAGCTCCACCAAATACATCATCGTTTCTTTCCACTCCTAATAGCTTATTTTTAAATCCCACTAATGAATATGAAGTATTTACCACATTTAAGAATCTTAAGAATAGTAAAGCTCTCGATATAGATGACATACAGATAAAGCCTGTGAAGTATGTATTAGAATACATTGCTCCAGCTTTAACACACATCTTTAATTTGGCTTTACAGTATGGAATTTTCCCAGAAAAAATGAAAATGAGTAGGGTAACTGTTATTTTTAAAGGAGGTGACAGAAATGATACGTCAAATTATCGACCAATTTCAATAATTCCAGTATTTTCCAAAGGCTTAGAAAAGATTATTTTTTCGCGTGTTTCAAGTTTTTTTGACAGACACAGTGTTCTATCTGATGCCCAGTTCGGCTTCCGTAAAGGCAGGTCAACGGAAACCGCTTTGCTCACACTCAAGGAATTTGTACTGAAAAATATTGAGAGAAATCTTTTCACCTTGGCGCTCTTCATTGATTTTAGTAAAGCCTTCGATTGCATAAATCACAAAATTCTACTGTGGAAATTATCACAGAATGGCCTAAGAGGTATTCCATTAACATTATTCGAGTCTTATTTAACTGATCGCAAACAATCTGTTTGCATAAGAGACGAAAAATCATGTTTTCTTCCCATAATAAACGGTGTACCACAGGGTAGTGTATTAGGTCCGCTGCTCTTTAATGTCTATGTTAATGACATTACTAATATTACCACCTCTGTTCAATTTATCATATACGCGGATGACACTACACTTCTTGTTTCTGGTCCGGATTCACAGAAATTAATAAGACAATGCAACGATCTACTGGTTAAGTTATCTCAATGGTCGATTGCTAACTGCCTTAAAATAAATCCTACAAAAACTAAAGTAATGTTATTTCGCGCTAAAAACAAATCTCTGACTTGCCAACAAACGTTATTATTTGCTGGTAAAGAACTTCAAATTGTTGATGAACATAAATTACTAGGCGTTACCTTTTCTTCGCATCTTACTTGGGATAAACACGTAGAAAATATCTGTAAAAAACTATCAGCTATAACAGGTGCTTTATCTAGATGTAGGTATCTTCTTCCACCGAAAGCAAAACTTAACATTTATTATGCTCTATTCTTTTCTCATTTAAGTTATTGTAGCTTAGTCTGGGGGACTACTGGGAAAACAAACATTATGAAATTATTTTTACTGCAAAAAAGGATGATTCGGCACATTGACAATATGGGCTTCTTAGAGACAACACGGCCAGCTTTCCTAAATCATAGAATCATTAAAATAGAACATCTTTACACTTTTCGCCTACTTTATTCCTTTTATTTCTCTAAAAAATATCTTCATAATTTTCTTGCGTCTACTGCATCGTTGACACCTAGAATCACTTCCGCCAATACTAGAAACAGTGACATGTGGTATGTTCCTAGATTTCGCAATAATTATAGGCTACAATCATTAGAGCACAACTTGCCGCATATTTTAAATAAATACAAAGACGTCAAGTGCTTCTCAGCCAAGGAACTCAGGACTCTCTTTGTTAACATGTGATGACTTAACGTATTACTATTATTGTTTTCTATGTTTCACTTGTCAGAGCAAATTGTGTATGATTTCCTGTCTTCTTCTGCATTGAATTTTTGTTTTCATTGTTTTTTCAATAATTTCAGATATTGTTGTGTACATTTGCCACATATGCCTTGTAACGGACCATCGACCCCGTCAAGCTGTTTGACAACAGCTTTTAGTCGATGGTATCCGCCAGAATCTTTGTATTTCTGGAAATAAATCTATCTATCTATCTTTTTAAGCAGTGCTGGACAGCTTGTCTGGGTATCAGTTTACGACTTTATCTGCATCCTTCAATGAGCCTCAAAGGCTTGGTTTAGTGTACAGATAGTTGTTTAATTCTGTGCAAAATCCTCTATACATTGAGGTGATAAATATTAGACACTAATACAATGTGGTAAAAGCCGGACCTCCATGTTGTTACTTGAAATCTAGTTTTGGGAGTTTAGTCATGCACATATTACTAGTTTTTGAGGTCGACCATCACAATGGCACCAACAGTCTGAGCACAAGCATAACAAATGGAGTACAGAAGCGAACGACATAGCTTTCCTATGATTTTGCAGTAGAAGAAAAGTTAAATAGTATATGTTTTTGTGAATGTTCACTAGTATATAATCTCTAGTATCCACAAAACCTGCAATGAATTCATCTAGTTTTCTTTTGTTCACGGCTGTAGGTGGCAACAGACATAGAAGGAAAAAATGCTTGGAAGGAGTGCTTTACGGTGAAGGGTGTTCAACTGCCAACGCATTATTATTTTGGGGCTTCTGCAGTCACTGGCGATCTTTCAGGTGATGTTCCCTTCACTGCTCAGTAATGCTCATCTAGAGCTATGGTATTTTTCCGTATAATGCATGACAATGCCACCATGGTTTGTCCGTCCACCCTCGTGAACGCAAAACATGCCATGGTTTGGAAAAAAAGCTAATTATATTCAAAAGGGGCTCCTTACATATTAGAATGCTTCTGCTGCGAGCTGCATTATAGAACAGACACTTAAGAAGATAATCTTAGGTAATGAAAGAATGCATCCTCCAGTGGTGTATGATGCTATGTCATATTAGAAAGCATTACACCAGGTAAATTTCTGAAATTTTGTTGTGTTATTAGAATCTCAAGCGTTGGACGCATATCTTGTTCTCATATCGTGAGTTTTCGTCCTGCACCTCCGACTCTGTGAAGTTATGCCAAACATTGGCCGATAAAAGAAAACAAACTAGGGTTGTGCAAACAGTGAAATTTTTTCTTGAATGGAATTCAAATTGAATGGTGCCCAATAGTGACCAAAAATATTAAATATCAAATACCAAACTTTTTATTGAAATTGAAAGAACAAAGAAGTTACGTCTGCCAACGTCCTCGAGCACATAATGCAGTCATTGACTTCTACCGAAAGAGTACAAATTGTCATGCCTAAATAGAAGCTCAAAGAATCATTCTTTTTTGGGACAAGGGAAGTGTCTTTTTTTTTTTTTTAATTCTTGGCTATATCAGGCCTGAGCTCAGTGTGCGGCTTATTTTTGAACACTAGCAGTTTAACAGTTTGAACTGTTTCCTGGCCTTTTTTTCTAAAGCCATAACTTGTCAATGGCTTCGAGCATAGAATCTGATTTTAAAGTTGCCACGTCGGTTGAAGAGTTCATAAGGATGTGTCGACCAGTATCTTCAGCCTGTGACTAATCGAATGAACTTGTGCAGAAAATAATTTAAACATCGGATCACAGAGTGTAGTAAACAGTTCTTTTTGTTCTCACTCTTGTGTGTGAAGCCAATCGTAAAGGGTATCACGGGCAAAAGTCATAGCGGCGCTTGCAGCGTACCCGACCGAACTACGGAAGAAGTCAGTGTCTTCGTTTAGAAAGCGAAGTTGTTAAGGGCTTGAGAGTTTTCATTCTTTTTTAATGTTCATTTTAATGTGCAGAAATTACAAATATCCTGTAAAGTAGACATGCGCTCATTTTTTAATGAGAATATGGAACAAAGTTTTTACAAAATGCCTGCTTTAACAACATTTGAATTAGTTCTAGCCATTCCCCCAACCAATTTGCACCATTGGTCTTTCTCGCATCTTAGGTATTCGTGCTGTCGAATTATTCTTAACTTCATATACCACCTATTCAAAAATTTGAATACTTGTTATATGAAAGGTGAATCGAAATATTCGATTCGACTTCAAACACCAACTAAAAAAACATTAAAAAGAGTCTAGGCTTTTGATAATTCTACAAATAGAGCCGACATGCACTAATATTGCTTAGCTGAGGAAGGATAATTTCTGCATGAAGAAGCTAGTGCTGCCCAGTATGCAACTTGAGAAACGTGTATATTATTTTAGGGTTCTGCAATACTTTTCAACCAGTATAAAGTAAATAATCCTGCTCAGTTGCTGACAACATCCCAGACCGGTATAGCCTTACTTGCTGCAGAAAGCCCCCAGTTTTTGGTAAAAAAAAGACTGCTCTTTCTTTCAACTTCCTGCAAGCCTTTCTTTATAGTTCTCTACACTTTTGAACACAATAGCTGTTAGCCTGATTTTTGTAGGCATGTCTGGCAGTAGTAGTAGAAGGCCATGTTATCTTTCACATAATATGGTGGTGTCATCTGGTGGCAGAAAATTGTACTATTGGGGCTATACTATGATTATGGTCACCAGATTAAGCTGCACAAGGTGTAGACCTGTAGCGTGCGCTAATAGCAGCTGGAGTGGGCTGATTCTTTTGACTGTCACGATGGTGCCACCGGTCAAGGACAGTGAGAAGTGTCAGGGTACCGCACGTGTTTCATGCTCACAGGCTCGTAGTACTGCGAGCCGTCTCTACTAATTCGATACATGCTGGGTGCTTTGTACTGCTGGACATTTTCTCCAATGGTGCATGGCTTCTCTTTTATGCGTGTATCAAAGTGGCTTAAACATGCCCATGTCAGATACGCTCAACTTTTTTTTTTCTGGACCCTGGTCCACTGTCTTGCCATGAATATCATGATTTTATTAGTCCTTAGGTTGGCACATGTGCAGGCTGCTGCTCTTGATTGCAAATGTGTGTGTTTAAAATTAAGATCAGGCAACTGTTGTGGGATGGAAGGCTCTTTAAGCTTCTCATTTTTTTCCCTCATGTCACTGTATACAATTTTTTTTCACTTATTTCCTTGGTGGTCCATGCTTATCTGTTTAAGTGCTATGTAAACACTGTGGCTGTTTACTTGTGCCTTTTCTTTGTACTTTGAAACCAGGCACACACATGTACACTTGTGTGTCTGGCCTACGTACGTTCCATGTTGCACAAGTTATTCTTTTTTGTCACGATGCACCAACTCACCCAAGATCTTTTAATATGAACATTTAGGTCATTGTTGTGGTAAATAGATTAGTCCTCCTTGCTGACTGTGAAGTTATTGACCTTTGCAGATAACCACGATATCATTTCTATGAAGCTCTACGAGATTGACATTCCGAATGAGGTATGCATTTACTTCCCCCTACTTCCCCTACATATGAAATATAACCTTTTGCTTCACCAACTTTAAACTTCACAGCTTTTCATTTTTCTTTTCATTTAGAAACAGAGTGAAACTGAAGATAGGTCGAAGATTGTGCCTGCTGCATCATATTTTTCTCCGCCCAGAGGTATGGTGCACACTTTATATTTCTGTGCAGGCAAGGGGGTCAGTGCACTTTGCCATGCCTTCTCCCGTTATACAGGGTGCCTCGGCTATCTTTAGCCAGAGTTTAAAAATGTGCCGACACACAAATGCGATGCGATCAAGTGCATGTTGCTGACCATTGCGTGGAGTTAGACAATTTTTTGTGTTCTAAAATTTTTTTAATTATATATGTTTAATTAACTAACGTTTGAAAGAGCAAAGATGGATATGAAATTTCAATGATAAAGTTGATCGGTTTGTAAATCGTTCAATTAGACAGTTTTAAACTTTATATCTGCTAATTATTAGTGTTTTTCTGCCAACTACAAATGCCTGCGAAATGAAAGAAAAAAAAATGCCACGTGACAAACCCACTGGCGCGGCCACAAGCGCTGAAATTCCAGTGCTTTTGACGTTCCGCGTACAAACGATACACTTCCCTCCCACCGGTTCATGACAGCAATAAGCAGTCTCAGTGGTTATCGCTTTTGTGGCAAATAGCCAAACGTGTTCATCACAAAGCCACCACCATCGTTGCGGCCCTGTCGAGACAGCACAATCGGGCAAATGCTATGGTCATTCGTACGCGAAGTGTTAGGGAGCACTAGAATCATCGCATGCAGTGGTGCGTGAGCGGCTTTGTCACGTGGTATTTTTTTGTATTTTGCAGGCATTTGTAGTTAGTAGAAAACACTAATAATTAACAGATATAAAGTTTGAAATTGTCTAATCAGACGTTTTACAAACCAATATACAACTTTCTCATTAAACTTTCTCAACTGCTCTTAAACTCAACTTTCTCAAGACTGCTCTGCCTAGTGTTAAACTCCTCTCCTACTTTTCCTTAATTAGGCCTAAACTTGAGTACGCCTCCATAGTTTGGGATCCCCACATAAAAATTAACGTCCAAAACCTAGAAAGAATTCAAAGAAAAGCAGTACGATTCACATATAGTAAATTTATGTCAACCGACTCCCCCACTGCATTACTAACAGCAAATGGTATAGAACTATTACAAATTCGAAGAACAAAAAGTCGGCTACAGTTTCTTTCAGACATAGTGAATCACAGGCTACCCTTAGACACCGCAGTATACGTATCCCCCTTGTTAAGCAGACCCACTCGACACCACTATCCTCATTCCCTAACGCCAATCTTCGCAAGGACTGATACTTTTCGGTACTCCTTCTTCCCACAAACAATACATGATTGGAATAAACTAATCGAAGCATTTCTTCAACGCCCTTGACCATTTGTGTAAATACTCTTCTTCCATGACTTCCTTGAATGGTATTATCACCTTGTTGTTCAACTGTTACTTTTTTTTTTAAAGCCATAACCCCTCTGTCTTATAGCAAAGAAATTGTGTAAAAAACGCTTTGCAACCTTGTTTTGTTCTGTTATTTAGTGTGTTTCATGTATGCTCACCCTGCTTGGACTTTTTGTCTGCAGTATTCTATAAATAAATAAATACATCTTGGTTCCTTCAAAGGTCACTTAATTAAACATATCTAATTAAATATTAAGGCAACGGTCAACAACATGATAGCTGGGGCACCCTGTATACTCTTATACACATGCTACAAAGTTAAAACCAGCATGTGGTTAATGTGTATGGCATATTGGGGTACATTGGCGTCTGAGCTCTCTCCCCTAGGTGTATTGGTGTGTGAAAATGTCTGTTGTTTATTGCAAGAATGTTACCTTGACTACTGTACATTCTTGTTAATTGATCCTTGTCTTCATAGCAGAACTTGTAATACGATGGAATGCTAGAACTGAATAAACCAACTATGACACAAAAATATTAATCAGGTTCAGTTATTTTTAAGGCTAGAAAAACAAACGGTGCTGCTGATGCAATTGTCTCTCTGTGTCTGTATGCAGACCACGTGGATGACCCACCACCTGCCCTGTCTGGAACCAAGCTCTTCCTCATCGTCCTGTGTGCTATCCTTGGGCTTGTCTTGTGTATCATAGTAGGCTTTGTGCTTTTCCAAAAACAACAGGAAACATCCAGAAAAAGGTTCTACTGATAGCAAAGTTTGCTGCCAATATGAAGTTCATTTGGGGGACAGGATCATCAGAGCAGAAGCCTCATCATTCATTTTGTTCTACAGTGGCATCCATTTCTTATTACTTTTACACATCATGATGCCAACCTCGAGGATGTCTTCATTGCTTTCATGAGTGATTGCAAGACTGTGGGTGTGAATGGGAAAATGCTGCACTACTGCTGCTTTGTATAAAGCGGTCGTAATTTACTGAATGTATTGGCATTCAGTGTAAGCTAAGTTGAGTTTCGCTCATCGCATAAAACTGCTGTGTCTTTCTACAATCAAGAACGTATGGGCATTGTTACAGGCATGATCTGCGTTTTTCATGAGGATGTGAATAAAATCTGGAACTTTTATTCTTCTGGCTCTGTAGTTTACATCAACACTGCATCCGGTGAAGCTGTTCTTTAACAACTTCCACATTCTGGGCGCTGGAAGAGGGAAGAGAGTGAATATGCGCATGAGCTGCACACTACCATGACCGTACCATTTCTGTATGGCATCTGCCCTGCAAAGAAAAACAAAATACTTTAGCATGCTAGAATCTCAATAGCTCGTGCTTGATAACATAGCTGGGCAATACCATAAGAATACGAGTGCCTACGACGTAAACATTGGTACTTACTGGAGTTGCAATGTGGTGACGAGGTTCTGCATTTTGCACAGATTCTTGAAATAAATGAACAGGTGAGTTACGAGCGAAACAGCCAAAGCGTTCGGCTTACCACTTCCGAGTTGTGCAAAGCGTGCTCTTGTAATGCGAAATTCCTGGCAGTGTGCATTAGCGTCTGCAAGAAACAAAGCACTAGACTTTACGACATGCACATCGAAAGTGACACACCGTCTTACCTCGCTACTTTTTGATCCTTTGACTACCTGCCTTGCCAACGACCCAACGCTGTTCACATTCACTTGTATGCGGTCACACAGGCGTTCCTTCGATTCTACGAAGAGGCTTCGAGCGCTGGATTCAGAGCTGGTCATTTTCTAAGCGATGTCGGAGAATCGGGCATCTACTTGAGCGCAACGGTGTAGTCGTACCTGGAATATATGCCGAAACTCTCAAACTAGCAGAAAAACAAAAAGGAACTGCAACAGCAGCTACAGCGGGCGACAGCATACATGGGCGTCCCGAAAGGGCGCATTGTAAATTATCCTGCCGTTTTTACTTCCATATTGATCGACTTTCATTTTTCAAAGGTTTCCTGAAGCTTAATCTTACCTTTTCTTTCTATCGTTTTGCCCCAACGCAGTCTGTTCATGTCCCTTTCCGTTGATCCGGCGAAGTGGTAGGTGTTCTCTGCTGATTGTGTGTCTGGCGCTCTGTTGAAGTCTGAAAAGTGGCCGTAGACATCATCATCATCATCATTCTACACTCAATTGTTCAATTTAGAAGCATAAGCCCCACTCGACAAATGCATAACAAATATAATAAACTTATCAACGAATACATCACGGTGAAATTATTTCATATTGGGAAAGCTTTTGTGCATGTGCTTTTGCCGAGAATTCGTCAAGCGCACAATCTTTACGACAGCTTTGACGATTTTACAGTCTTTACGGTCAACCACGGTGCGGGGAATAGCCAACAACAAAATCGACGTATTTTACGGCAATAAGCCAACTAAACAGCCGCACTGGTAGGTGTTCTGTGGCCGCACGCACCGGTAGTTGCTTTTATGTGCAGTGTAACTGCGTCGTCTTCAGGACCGTCTTAAAATTTTTTGTATCAAGTAATGCAGAAGCGATCAGGTTCCTAAAGTGTCATAATGAAGGGCTTTCTCGTTATTGACACATTGAACGACGTTGTTTTCAAGCAACTGGACAGCGATCTTTTGAAGCACATAATAGAAGTTTCTACACGCAACGGTCTACTCACCGAGGGAGCTTTTGAGCATGTACGTAGCACGCCGTATGAATTTGCTGTCTCTTGATTCACCGTGGCGAACGCGAGCGGTCGAGCCAGCCGGTTGTTAGCGGGCTCTTCAAATGACGCAGCTAGCTAGTAGGCTGCCGTCGTTCGCAGTGATGCGTGCGTCAATATTGTTGAGCCCGTGCTTTTTTGCCATGAAAGCAGCGTTGCTTGAAAGGGGCCTACGTATCCTCCCTTGTTTTCCTGTTGTTGTTTTTTTCTCAATATTTTTGCGTCAGGATAGCTGACCTCCACAATGCGTCGCATTCGATGGCAAGAGGCAGTTCATGTTTCTTTTTTGTTTTGTTTTTCTCTGAACTCTTCAGGTTGCTGGTTCGTCATCAGAAATTATTACAAATGACATTCTTGTCCAGCTGTTCTCACCACTGGTGACATCCCACCGAGTCATGAAGGAGCGAATGCACAATGCATATAGCAGCATATACTGCAAAGATCAAACACTGTGTATATTCACTAAGGTGAGTAATTTGTGAAACCTAATCGAATGGCCTATTTTGGGCAAAAATAATGGCCGAGGGAGGGCAGACTACCAGATACATAGCCAGAATTTTTTTTCGGAGGGAGGTTCAACCTCATTTTATGTATGTTTGTGTGTGCATTTGTATGTGTGTGTGTGCATTTGTATGTGTGTGTGTACATGTACGCTAGCAAAACAGATATTTTAGTTCGCGGGGGCGTGTGAGAGGGGGGGGGGGGGGGGCTCGGCTACACCCATGGGGACTACTGCTATGTGCACTCCCCACTGGCCATCCCTCATCTATACTAGTGTCCACAGCATTCAGGAATGTACAGCTAGGCCAGTTTCTGACAGCTATCTTCCAGTGCAATCATGTGAACAAAATAAAACAAAGTGCTATTGATCCATATTTATCGAATGAGTTGATAGCGGTCTTTGGTTGGTCTTGTCCATGTGGTTGTCTATTTTATAGTGAAAGCTGTTATCAGATCATAACACGGGTCACGTGAGCGCCGTAGGTGTCCGCCGCCGCCCGTAACCCCTATCACACGAAATAAAACAAAAAAGTCAGTAAATAAAAAACACCAAGGACGCAATGAGATTCAAACCTGGGTCCCCTGCGTGCCAGCTTAGTAGTCTACCACTGAGCCGTGCCAGTGCTTGGAACTCCCTTGCAAATCGGCCCTAGGCAGGCTTGATGTCGGGAAAGGAATTGCGTTAATATGAGTAATAAAGCGCTGTAGAGCAGCAAAGAAACAACCAGGTGTAGGATCATGCTAATTGTGCAACAAGGGGGTTGTTGAATACTCCAGCCCTTTACAAAAGCTTGATCTTGTTCACCTATTAACGGTGGCGCATACCTATTGTGGGGATTACAAAAGCTTCTGGCATAATTCTTCATCGTCAGTCACAGCACGCAAACATTGCACAAAGTTCCTTGCAAGTGTGTAGGAGGTACCACACTTCTTCGAAGAATGGCATAGTAAATGCCTGCCTACTACACAATGATTAATGGCGTAGTGAGTACCCTGCCTTACACCCTTCTTGCAGGGGGACACAATCTCCCCAATGCTATTTACCGCATGCTTACAGGAGGTTTTCAGAAGCCTAGAATGGGAACAAATAGAGATAAGAGTTAATGGAGAGTACCTTAGTAACCTGCGCTTCGCCGATAACATTGCATTGCTGAGTAACTCAGGGGACGAATTGCAACTCATGATTACGGAGTTAGAAAAGGAGAGCAGAAAGGTAGGTCTTAAAATGAATCTGCAGAGAACGAAACTATTGTACAACAACCTCAAAAAAGAGCAGCGCTTCGAGATAGGTAATAGTGCACTTCAAGTTGTAAAAGACTATGTCTACTTAGGGCAGGTAATAACCGCGGAGCCGAACCACGAGATTGAAGTAACTAAAAGAATAAGAATGGGCTGGAGCACATTTGGCAAGCACTCTCAAATTATGACTGGTAGATTTCCACTATCCTTCAAGAGAAAGGTATATAACAGCTGTATCTTGCCGGTACTTAGCTACCGAGCAGAAACCTGGAGACTTACAAAGAGAGTTGAGCTTAAATTGTGGACGACGCAGCGAGCAATGGAAAGAAAAATGGTAGGTGTAACCTTAAGAGACAAGAAGAGAGCAGAGTGGATTAGGGAACCAACGGGGGTTAAGGATATCATAGCTGAAATCAAGAAGAAATGGACATGGGCCGGGCATGTAGCGCGTAGACAGGATAACCGCTGGTCGTTAAGGGTAACTAACTGGATTCCCAGAGAAGGAAAGCGGGTTAGGGGGAGACAGAAGGTTAGGTGGGCAGATGAGATTAAGAAGTTTGCGGGTATAAATTGGCAGCAGCAAGCACAGGACCGGGTTAACTGGCGGAACAAGGGAGAGGCCTTTGTCCTGCAGTGGACGTAGTCGGGCTGATGATGATGATGATGATGAGTACCCTGCAAGTGTGCTTGTAGCAGCTGCCCAAAGAGTGTTAAAAAGAGTATCTTGAAGACTTCTCTTCTATACTCTGTTTTGCCACTTCGCTTCAGCACTACCAAAGCTACTGGGTGTAAGAAAGCCACATGCTTGCGCAGCAAAATGTTGTCTCACATACAAGTGCCTTGAAATTGACAGGGTTGGCTAGTATTGGCATTTTTTAATGTGTTTGAAGCCACATCGATACATGATATGTTCATTCTTCTTTGCATTTATTTTTTATGCAATTAATTATTTGTGTCGGTTACCACCGATAGCAGTGTTTACAAATCAACATGGCAGCACCCATGCCGAAGTAACTGCCTGCTTCAATCCGTTCCTGCTCTTACACGCCCACTTCACTGTTAGCAGTAAACAAATGGTGAAATCAGCCATTATTTGTTTCATGTCACTCTGGTACTAAAGCATCTGGTATGCTTTTTCGATATTAGTGAGATGTGCTGCTTGCTTAGTCGCACCTGCTTTGCCTAACGTGCGTTCAGCGCTGGCCTGGCGGTTTTTGAACTTGAAAACATCCCAATATTTCATTCAACTTGTGCTTGATTTTATGTGTTGCTGGTCCATTTTGCAGTATTATGACTGGACTATCTTGGGCATAAACTCCGAGAAAGAAGACTCTGAAGCAGTGTGTCGCAAGAGATTGAAAGTTTTTCTTGCTCTTGTGCAAAGATTGTATGGCCCTGCTGTGCAGGAGTGAGTATGGCCTTCCTGTGGTTTTTGCAAAAAAGACTCAGTCAATTTAGAAACTGAAAAGAAAAATTTGGGTTTCTTTTTCAGGTTAAAATTGCAGACAGCAAATGGAAACAAAAGATCACAACTGTTGGGCAGTGTGATGGATACCTACTGTGTGCTAAAGAAGCAAAACCAAGTCTTCTTGTTTGAGGTAAATCAGTATTTCTGTGTGAGAACTGACCTGACAACACTGCGTGCTTCTGCCTTTGAGAGGGTCCTCTCCTTGAGCTAGAATTTATTGAAGGTTCGGCTACTGGAATAATGTGCACGCTACATATATGTGTGTTATATTTGATGCTCTTATTGAAGCAGTTACGAAACTTCGCAAACTTCAAGCTGATGTTTGTTTGCATGCAAGTTGGCTTGACATAAAGGCTGTCAGGTGTAACGAGGTCCTCAGCTACTTACAATAAGACACTAAAAAATTTCCACACCACCAATTACTCACAATAATTGTTTAAAGGGACCCTGAAACTGTTTTTTTTTTTTTTTTAAGTTTTATAAGAATTTAGGCTAAAGCATCATCACACCATTCGCTCCTCAAATTTGCGACACGCGGTGTACCCAGGCCGCTGCGGACAATTATATCATAACCTCCTTCTCACCCCTGCGGCGCCTCCTCAACTCGTAAGACACATTGGTGATCGCAGAGTTCTCGTGAGCGCACATGATGATTTGAGCTTCACCCAGTCTAGAGCTCTGAGATTGCACAGCAGCAGGTAGCGCATAGTCTCAAAAGCCATCACCCAGTGCACCCGGCAGCCCGCAGGCCGTCTGCCAACAGAGACGAAGATCGCAGGGCGGTTGATATCTGCTCCAACAGATGCTGCCAGCCTAACTAGCCGATTTTGCTTCTAGGCAATCCACAGCCAATCAGATTAGCAGCCTGGGTGATGTCGCGTAACCAGAGCATGTTGCTGTGTGAATGAGCGGTTAATCTCTAGTTTGGCTGAATTGCAGTGATCTGAAGCCATTTTAGACCTAAAGTATTGTTATAAATTAGGCAGCTTATGCAGAGAGCTCAAAGTGGTCTGTAAATGACCTTTAAGATGTTGTCTAACCAGCCCAATGTGTTTGTACAAGATCATCTAAATTGACTCAGGGATTCCGTTAAGGTATGTGGCCACACTTGAAGATGTTTTTTTTTTTTTTCAAGAAAAAAAGAAAGAGAACTTTACTTTTTAATATTCTAAGAATACACAGACATTCAGAATTATTC